TTCAATGTGGAACAATTGCAAAGGAAACTTAGAAAGAGATTCGTGTTTACCCGATAGCGCCAAAAGCAAGCAAGTATGTTTTTACTAATATGAGGTGTATATTCGACGAGACATACAGTTAAGATTGAAGATACCAAAGGCATTTGGAGCTTGACGACGCTTTAACCAGTAACACCTAGTATGAATCGTACCCACCAAGTGAAATCAAAAGATAAAAGCGAGGAGGTTCGAAGATATATTTGATAGGCTATCAATATATCGAGGATCGACTGATCTTGACTGGCTAACGATTGCAAAGAATGTTGAGCACGGCGTTCCTACTCGTGATCTGGTGTGGATGCTTGACCAAGCGCCTTCAGCTAGGTGAGTCCATTAAAACTGATGTGGTCAGGATCCAATAACGAAGACTTGTAACAGCTTAGGTTGGTTGGTTAAGAGTTGACCTCAAGCAACCAAGCATATGCATGAACAGTATAGTTCAAGTATTTACTCACTTCCTTATTTTGTATAGGTGTTATATTCCCCATTATCTTATATTGAATGTTGAGAGGCTTTGTTTGTCTGAATAAATAACCTCATGCTCCACTGTGACTGCGCGAAGATCAAAATAAAGACCTATTCACTACTTGTCTGGTTTCTTCTATCAATAGCACGAAAGTTACCTTAAGGCACGAAAGACTTACAGAGCTATTGATTTTGGGGATTTATATACCGCTATAAGATTTTATCTGAACGACCTTGTAAACAATATCCTTATCTTCATACTTGGAAATGTGCATGCTTAGTTTCTGTCTTTGAATTTATTTGTATAATTTTTATGATCTTCGACTTTATCTTCCTGCTTATAATTTCCTGACGGACAGTAGGTTAGAAGTTAAGTGATTTTTAAGTGTTGGGAAGATATTCCTCGCAAATAAATCTTCACAGCAAGATAATTTACGCACAACTCAAATTATTTAGCCATCTATTACAACAGCGTAAAACCAGACAAATAATGTGGTTGGCGATTCATTAAAAGATTTTTAGTCATTTCGTGTATCATCATATATGTGTCCTTGTTCATTTCTGTAATCGAACTGTATTAATTCTCCTTTTATCATTTATTAGCAGTTATATATTAAGAATCCAGCTACATTGAGGGCCTACTCGAGTTTAGCAGAAATGGGTCGACCAACCAACTTACGTCGAAGTCACATCTCACGGTTAATGCACAATATGGATTATCTTTTATCGTATACAGGTACTACGGCTACTTCGATAACCGTACAACACAAACAATGTTATTACTTCCAATATTAGTACGATTAGGTACAAGAACGAGTAGGACCATTACCTCGTGAGCCAGTTCATGAAGTGCAACTGAGCGACGCGCATTGGTTGTCCTAGCGCTTGACGAGGATTGGTAAACTTATCTATATTCAGTGATTTGGTTAGAGTCTAGTAAGATTTCACTGACCCTAAAAACGGGTTATAGCTCCGGAATAATTTTCTAAGTTTCAAACAAAAAATTCGAATAATACCATATGATATTTTTATCCGTAATAAGTAATAATTTCAGACAATATTCACACAGTTATTTTGACACCAAAAATAACTATGTCAACAAATAAACACTCATAGTTTTATATTTATGGAATACAAATAATACGTTAATTAGAATATTTACAGAAGTTATTTATTGCAAACAAATTATTATTCGTTTGTTGCCAGTGTTCCTAATATCTATAACTATGTGTTTATATAAAACACTTCATTACAAAAGTAAGGAATGTTTGTTCAGAAAAGACACTACGAGTTTTCCAAGTTTCTTTTGAAGTTTTAACACAATATATTGTCACTATTAACGAATAATGTTAAAGAATGTATTGGCAGACTGAAATATGTATGCGATAAAATTTATAGGCAAGACTCATATATTTCAATTTATGAAGAAAGAGATTAGTAATAAAAACTAAAGACTGGGGAGGGGGAGCACTGATGCCATAAAACTGAAGCTTCCAAGGTTTCTAATTGCCAATTTGTGATTATGATTAATAAAATGTAATTAATATCTTATATGATAAACTATTCGGTATCACTATTTGTTTCTTATAGAAGAATCAATTAAATGCATACTATGTTAAAATTAGAGTATTTTAATACTATCGGAATGGTGATCTTTTAAATTATTTTATTTTGAATCACTGTAGATTAGGTAAAACACTAAATCAAGAAAGCGAGAATCACATTTTCATATATACAGAACAAAAATATTAAGAATGATGTCTGTGTAAAAAAATTCATGTGGTTATAAACATCCCTTAAATTCAGGGAAAATAATACCTTAGTTATCTGTGCTTTTCTTTGATTAGTACTGTGGTGTGTACTATTTATATTGGCATAAGTAGTATATGATGTTAGTCGTGAACGGAAGGTCTGGCATCACAGGGACAAGACGATAGAACATTTACTTCATGATTGTTAGATTTTATTAACAAGTCCTGTAATTTTGTGTTAAATACATTCGATTGTCCCCATCCGTGTTCTGTTCACTACAGTACTATTATAGAAGATAAAGTTCTAGTGAGTGCGAATGGTTATCATTTACGATTGAGGTGATCAGACAATAAAAAATAACAAAATGAAAAAGAAACAGTGTGTAGATTTAATCATTGCTTTCTGTGTGTATCGTGATCTTGATAATAATCAAACAGATCACATGACGTTCTAGAGCAAAATCGTAAGTCGTATGGAAGTAACGGTAAACTATAGCGAGTAAGAAGATTATTCACACAACTAAAATTACTATTCATGTATTGCGATAACTGCACATGAGTTAAGAAACAACACAGATTTCCATTAAATTTTTGTTTACTTATTTGTCCAGCTGAGTTGATCAGGTGTTAGTTGTGAGTACATTAAGTAAACTAGACATCAGATTATAATATCTCCACAGAGCTTTAGAAAATTAATGCTTTGGTAAGAACTACATGAATCATATCATATCACGTACTATCACAAGACCTTCTGTCACAGCTACACTTGGGAATATCATAGGACGAGCTTAAGACAGTTACAGGACCACATCTATTTGTCTCTCAGTCCATTTACACTATAAAAATTTACCATAAAAATAAAATCAACTGACAGCCACATATATTATTCCATTGACTAACTCAGTGAATTTATGACATGGTTTTTCGACCTAGCATATTTACCCATTTTTGCTAAGAAACACTCAACTTTATTTTCATTTCTATTGTTCTGATTCCCATTATTCGAAAAATGACACATATTTAAATTCGCAGAAAAGTTTAGTTCTTAGTCATAAGTTATGGTAGTCATGAAAAACATCAAACAAGTAAAATGAAAATCTAGCAAACAACCAGATTTCTTAATTTCCCAGATAGAGAAACTGATTGGTAATCCATGGATGCTTATTTAAACTGCTATATTATCGACATATTTATTTCCTCTCAGACATTTATTTTATGTTGATGGACGAGTTTGCCAGCATAAATAACTTTAAATAAACCCGTTGTTATATTTGTTTATTTCTCCCTAGTCTGGTGAAAGAGAAAGCTATTCAACGAATGAATTATTGTGAAACATCTGACGGCTAAACTCGAAAGTGGGCTACTGAAATGATGTTGATACATGATTTATGGTTAAGTCTCATAACAAAAATCTGAAATGATAAATTAAAAATGATTTTAGAAAGTGTTTTAATGCTTCTTAAGTCTCTTTTTTTAAAATATTTTACTGATATAAATAAAATCTAGCTGTCAAACTATTTCACAGCAGCAGCAGTTAATCCATTCTGTGTCAGTGAACTTTAATTCACAGTGTACCATGAGAATTTAATCAATTCATTTGTAATCATTGTTCTAATGCCTTATGTTATAGTCTACGAGTAACTTCTGAGAACTATTAATGGGCTAATATTATATAAATATTCCTATTGTATAACTCTTCAGCAACTTGATTATGTATATCTATATTCATTTTATTATAAGCTTCATTTTGACCTATGGATTATCATTGTACGGTTTACTATTCCCAAGTTATATTCAGTGTGTTGACTACAGTCTCCCACGTTCACGGCCACTTTCTGGTTTGATCTTGCATAAATATTATTACCTATTTTATGGTGGGATGCGGTCTGTTTGGCTGGTATATAAACCAAGTATGTTTGAAATAAATGATTACCATAGTGAGATCTGTTATTGATGTTCTAGACTCAAATGGACGGGGTAGGCAAACAAAAGACCAATAAGAATGCTAGGCTGCTCATACCGGTCAAACGTCATTGGTTTGATATAGTACTAAGATTAGATAAGTCGTATTTCGATTAGTGAATAAATCACGTGATAACTAGCCGACCTTAAAGTAACAACAGGTTATGAATGTGCAAGAGATATTTTCAAACATAAATCAATCTAATATACTGAACATCCATTAAAACAGCTATTCAATACTCTTAAATTCTCAACTATAGACAGTATATTAACAGATAGGATATTAACAACTAAGAATAGAATAGAACATAGTAATATCATTAAACTCTACATTTGTGAACACTTTTATTCTTAATGCTTGTTGTATTTTATTATAATCGTAAAACGTCAAACAAAACAAAATAATTGAATAGAAAATTAAAGTGAAAGTCAACTCTATATATTCTTCATCTATTTCTTGAATAATTTATAAGAATCTGGGTTCAATGATTTCATTCATTCATTCATTCATCCATTCATTATCAACTTTATTTTTATAATAATAAAGTTTACATTAATAACTTGTGTATTATAATCAAAATAAATTACTTAAAGTTATTTAAAAACTAATTCAAAATAACAAATATATATGTTTATATTATATGAATTGTTCATATTGTTCATATTATCTTCCCTATAAGAAAGACATAAATGTTAATCATTTTTGTTTGTATTCTTATATAAATTGAACATTGAAATGATCCAATTTTAATCATTGAAATACATTGAATAATAAGAATAAATTTATGATTTTAATTTTTTATAATGAATTACAGCATCAGCTACATTTAAACCTAATTCAACTAATTCAACAATACATACAAATGTTAATCCAATCCATATACTTAATAAACCACCAATTTGACTAAATAATGAAGTTAATGATACAACAGCTTTTTCTTCAACACGTTCTAAATCAAAATTTGGTCGTGATATTATAATAGATAAAAAATTTTGTTCAAATATTTGTGTATTCATAAGCATTTTAATTGCTTCTTGTAAATGACCTTGTTTAGTTAAATTAGAAATTATTTCATAAGGTTGTAATGGTGTACGAATTTCTTCCATACGTTCATTAAATATAGTTAATGTTTCATTATTTGTTGATTTTAAACGTGAATAACCGGATGCTTCCATTTCTTTTATAAACTATAAAAGAAAATTCAATGAATTATATTTAGAATAATCTGGTTAAATAATATAAACGAACAAACAAACATGATTTTTAGGTAACATTACTTACTTACTTACGTCTGTTACTCCTCTTGAAGGAGCATAGGCCGCTCACCACCATTCCTCATCCAACCCTGTCCTGGGCAACCCTTTCTAGCTCCTTCCAGTTGTTATTCATCCTTTTCATTTCTGATTCTATTTCCCGACGTAATGTGTTCTTTGGCCTACCTCTTTTCGGCTTCCCTTCAGAATTCCAAGTTAGGGCTTGTCTCGTGATGCAGTTTGACGATTTGCGTGATGTATGTCCTATCCACTTCCATCGTCCTTTCCTAATTTCTTCTTCAGCTGGAAGCTGGTTTGTTCTCTCCCACAAAAGGCTGTTGCTCATGATATCCGGCCAATGGATGTTGAGTATCTTGCGTAGACAACCATTTATAAACACTTGTACCTTCTTGATGGTTGTTGTTGTTGTAGTTCTCCAAGTTTCAGCTCCGTACAGTAGAACTGCATTGACGTTCGTATTGAAGATTATTGAAGGGTAACATGTTGGTTAAAAATCAATCTTTGTTTAAAGTTATCTATTTCCTAAGTTTAATTCATGTTGACCATATTGTACATCAGTAGGGACTTTAATAAGTGATTTATCATTTTACTATTTAATAGTCATTTATTTAAAGTTTTATCAGTATATAAACAGTCAACACAATTTACCAATGAAATGATTTCTTTGAGTAACATTTATTCAGTTAGTCTCAGTTATTTTACAACTTCGGCTAGACTACAACTTATGGACGAACCAATCAGGTATACAATAACAAGTCTCGGATTTCGGCGCGAATATCACTCATCCATTTGGCTAAATAGAGTTTTGGTCAGTTCGTGATGAAAACCCTAAATCTAATTCTTAACCTTAACCATCCACTGTAAATCATAATTCTAATCACTCACATTGGTTCATAACCCTCATTTGGTCCTAGTTATTAGGTGGACAGTTTCAACGTCACCCTAGAGTCGCTCAAAGGTCGTCTATAAATTATAGTCTCACTACGATTTCCCAAAGTTACTTTTATAATGAATATTACTACAATTGATAATTGAGCCGAATAATCTGGTTTTGATTACATGGAGAATTAGTGACGTACAAACTGATTTCCCTTAACTGCCCATATCGATTGATCATGTTAATTTTTCTATTAATATTTGGTGTATAATTATGTCAGTTTAATGCATAAAGGTACCTATTCTTTCAGTTAGTGCATTTGTCTTTAACTTCAAATCATCGAAGATGAAGGTATTAGTCAATAATTTATCTTCGTGAGAAGTTATCACTCAAACATATTTCGTATTACTGGATATCATCTATCAATTAGTGTTACATACTTTTGTTTCAACAATCAAATATTGCGTTCAGAAAATGATTAAAACTATAATTCATAATACACATGAAAATTATTAATTATATGGTACTGCGAAAATCTAGATTTATTTCTTTTGAATCCTTAGATTAACTTCACAGATAACTGTAAAAATATTTTCTTTAGTAATATTAAATTGATTGTACACATAATCTGTATTTTTCCCTGAAAGGTTTTCTAAAACATTTTAATGTACTCCTGAAAATAAAAATAACGTTGTTAAGCTCTAGAAAATCGAATGATTATTTTATAATACACAATGCTTTCTTTACAATTAATGAAATTAAAAGTGTTTCTACCTGAGGAGTCCCATAATAGCATGAAACAGCCGTCTAGTGCTTCTAGGTTTTCAGTGGTGATCTAGTTTAAATCTGTTCATGAATTCAACCATTAAATTACTAGAATCTCCACAAAAATTCTGACAATAATCTTGTCCTCAGTAGTGACTGGTTTCAAGATGTATTTTCTGGAGTTCTAGTGAAAAACCGTGACCAGTGGAATTCAACCGTGTCTGTTTTGAGGCAGTTACTCACCAAAGACAATATAAGATGGCCGCATTATATCATGAATTGACATTAATTAAACGTTAACATCTTTGGTCTAGAGTTTTAGGATTCACAAACGAGATCGAAAGTCTTAAGTTCGATTCCAGCATAAGAGGTGGTCTATGCGCGTTGTTGAGGAGCCCCATGCTGGTACGAAATGGCCGTGCAGTGCTTTCAGGTTTACAATGGTAGCCCAACATTGGTCGGTTCATGACTTCAGTAAAGCTCAATTATCTCCAAATCCTTATAATGATAATATGAATATTGTGAATTATTTGATCTACCAAGAATCAGAGGTGAAACTTATTTATAAATCTTGCACTTATAACAAATTCTAATTATTTCATAAATACTACAACATTTACAACCAAGAAAAAAACCGATTCAATATAAATATTGTATGAAGACAACTGCCAATTAAAGTATGTCTAAGTAAAGAAATATTTTAATTTCAGCTGCTTTGGGTTATCTTTGCTAGTTTATAATCTAACGACATTATCTGTGTTATTTGTTAAGGAAAATAAGATTCTAGGAAAAAATGGTAATTTATGTAATCAAAGACGCATTTCAGTTTTCCTTATCTTTAAATACTATGATTTTGTTCTGTAACTAATTTGCGCGCATATGAGTTATTTTACACCTAAACAAATGCACTACACAATTACTTATAATTAAATAATTGATTTGGGATAGGGTTAATGAATTAAAACTGTATCTGTATCTTTAATTGTAAGTGGTAAATCAGCAAGTAACATTTACTAATAGACCCATTTTTATTGACAGTAGTAATTAGAGTTAAAATTTATTAGACAAATAGACTTCTTATGTAACGGAAGAAGCATTTTTGATCATATATTATTAGATGATAACAATAAGCTTGATGTACTGACTATCCGAAACTTACTTTTGTAACAAACCATGTTAGAAATGTTTTGGTTGGCCATTGAGCAGCTGTTATGCTCGGTTTGTATGTGTATCGAACACAGGCTGGTCTACAGCCTATTTGATAACTATCCATAGCTGTTCCAGTTTTTCTGCACACTCTGCAAATCGAGCATAAGTGGAAACTGCTTCATCATTAAAATATAACTGTTTGGATTCGTTGAAATTATCTAACATTTGATAAGTTGCTGGAAGTTTGAATGCTTGACATTTTCTTAAATCTTTTCCAAGTAAATGCGTTGGAATTGGTAAATGTTGTGTTAAACATTGACAATTTGAAGCGACTTTTTCTTGCACCATATGTGCATGACATGCTTCTTCGCTAAAAGTATAGTTAACATTATTAAATGATATAAACTGTGGTGTATTTTTACTGCATCTACCATGAGGTGGTTCCATCATAGACCATTCATATACTGTAAATCGTATATCAGTCATTGTCCCTGGCATTAAATTTACACCTTCTTCAGCTACACGAGGATAAGAAGCACCAGGGTGTAAGAGCAGTCTTGCACCAGTTAACTGACTTGCCATGACTCTTTCCTAGTGTTTCAGAGAGAAAAAAATGTACATAGTTTTTATTAAAAAGTAGTTTTTGTTTGGTAATCAATATTGAAATCTGGCAAACAGTCAGAAATAATTTAGCTCTGGTTATTAACTATTTGTTGTGTATAATACATAAGCTTTGAATCAAATGACGAGTAGTTTGCAATGGGTTCAAAGAACTGAAAGCCACCTTCTCTAAATGTATTTATTCTGATAGTCACAATTTTTTTGTTCACTTGTTAAACCAAATTTTCATTTGGAATATATTAGCTGTGTATAAAAATTGACAGTCCTTCAGCAAGTATGAACATAATTTTGAACTTAAAAAAAGTAAATTCTCAAACAACAACATCAAGTTTGTTTGAAATACGACAGAAGTTAGAAGTTGGACATTTTCTCTTATTCAAAGTGATCACTAAACAGTCCAATTTGATCACAACTGTAAAATAAAATCTAGTCCGAAAGCAGATGAGTTTTCATCAATAAATTTCAACAATTTTTAAGCATTCGGGGAAGTAAACTGTAATTTCAAAATATGAAAATTGAATTAGGACTTGGAAGCAGTATAGCTGTTTGCTGTTTACCAAGTTTGATGCCCCCCTTTAAATACAAAGTGATTTAAATGGACTGCAATACTTTTGAATAAAAAAATGATGATAATAATAGGATGGGCTTACTTCATTTAGAAGTTATTACTTATGTTTTTCTAAATAGAGGGGTAGATATGCACTAAATCTACAATCGAATCTTCTGAAGTTAAAAAAAAACCCAGTAAAACAAGAAAGTGTCAAAGGACTGGATTTATTCTCTATTTTATTTATTTGAGTTGTCATGATAAAGCAGATATACAACGGTTAAACGATTGTTTTCTTGTTACGTGTATCTTTCCTACATCTATGAAGTAAGGGATTAGGTTTCAAGAACAAACATCTTAGTTACTTCACAATCTCTTAGTTTCACTAGTTGAAATCATGAGTCAATTGAAGCTAGACCACTATGGAAAACCTGGAAGCACTAGATGAGCACTGCTGAGGAGTCCCATACTAGGACGAAACGGTCGTCTAGTGCTTCCCGCTTTTCATGGTGGTCTAGTTTCAATTGGCTCATGGTTTCAACTAGTGAAATTTCTAAAATCTCCACAAAACCCATTCTGATAATCTGTTAGTTGTTAAGAGATTTTTTTTGATTAATTTTTGCTTTTAAATAAAAGTGATTAGTGAATAGTTATATAAGTTAATAATTATGACATGCAAGTGATTTTTCAGTGAATTTCAACAATTTTGTGATGCTAAAAATTTAATTTAGTTCTTTCAGTAAAATAATTCTAGCCATTAAAGGAAGTCATTACTAAAGAATATAAAACTGCTCGATAATTTGACTTATATCAACAACAAAAAAGGAACCAACCATGACAGTCAATTGTTTCAATATACTAGTTATTTAATTGAATATAACTGAGTCTTCAAAGCAAACATCTACTTGGTATTACCCAATTATATATTCGAAGTTTTCAAAACTTTAGTTCCAGTCGATTTCAAATCATTTTGGTCAAGTTCAATCAATATTGTGTTACATATTAACATAACTCCACCTGAAGCAGACCAAATCGCAACACCACAGGTGGTTGTGGAACAATCAATTGAATGAAATGCACCACTCTACATCAACTTCATCGACTACGAGGAAGCATTTGACAGTGTGGACAGGACAACACTATGGAAGCTTCTTCGATACTGCGGTATACCTGAGAAAATAGTCAATATCATACGGAATTCCTATGATGGATTAAACTGCAAAATCGTGCATGGATTACAGTTGACAACGTCGTTCGAAGTAAAGACCGGTGTCAGGCAAGATTGCTAACTCTTACCCTTTTCTTCTTCTCCTGGTGATCGACTGGATCATGAAGACGTCAAAATCTAGGGCGAAGCACGGGATACAGCCTGGATGCAGCTGGACGATCTAGACTTCGCAGATCATCTGGCTCTTCCATCGCACATGCAACAACAAATGCAGGAGAAGACGACTAGTGTAGCAGCACCCTCAGCAGCAGTAGATCTCAATATACACAAAAGGAAAAGCAATATTATCCAATACAACACGGCATGCACCAATCAAATCACACTTGATGAAGAAGCTTTCGTTTTCCTCAATGAATAAACTATGTTTCGTCGGTTCGCATTCTTCCATGTTTAAATTATAATGGTCGGGATCATTAGTCAGTTCAAGCTAGACCACAATCGGAAACCTGGAAGCACTGTACGGTCCTTTCATCTTAATGTGGGACTCCTCAGGAGAACTCATCCACGATCCCGCCTCGCAAGATTTAAACCCACGACCTACCAGTCTCTTGAGCCAACGCTTAACCACCAGATCACTGAGCTGGCTGGCATTCAACGGTGTTTAAATTATACTTTAAAAATAAACTTAAATGAATGTAATTTCCAGTACCTTGGAAATTAGTAAAAATGCTTTTTATATTATTTCATACTATGAATTAACGTTATTCATATCTCAATGATTTTATTCACTTGTGATTTACAATTACTCTCATTACATTCATATGTAGCCGTTTCATAAATGAATGCCAAATAATTAACTGTTCCATGTGAAGTTATTCAGCAAATTATTGCTTTATTCATATAGCCTAATACCATTAGTTTTATTAGGATCAATTAACAAAATAATTACTTATTATTATTGAAATAAACTATTGACTTTTGGATAAAATGCTATAAAACGTATATTCGTTTATTAAAAACGTAATAATAAAAATATTGGTGTTTTTTAGCAAGATGTTTTTCTACGGCATGGGGTTGTCGATTCCCATGCCCAACAACCTCCTCCTTTACCCAGGATTGGAAATGGCAGTATCTCTAGAAGAGTTTCAGATAGAGAAAAATCTTGCTATAAAACGCCAACCGATTATGAAAACATGAGTAATTTAAGATTTTGGCGATATATCATTATGATCATTGTTTACTTTCATGATGGCGTTGTTTATTTATTAAATATATATGTTCCGAAATCTGCTAATAACAACTTTCCAATAAAAAAACATGTTCACTTTATTTATTATTCGTTTGTGTTCCACTCATTTAACAACACTATAATTCCTGTAGGAATTCGATTATTCATCCAAGAATTTATTATCTTACCTTCCAGTTCAATGTTTTAATAGAAAATTTTTTTCAAGTTTAATAACAATTTAGGCCAGACTATAATTTATGGACAAACCAATCAAATATAAGATAACGAGTAACGAATGTTGGCGCGAAATTCGTCCATCCATTTGTCTAAATAGAGTTTTGGCATTATAGCTGGTGTCAGTTAGTGATGAAAACCCTAGATCTAATTTCAAGCCCTAACCATCAACTGTAAATCATAATTCTAATTGCTTCATAACCCTCATTCAGTCCTAATCAGTAGGTGTCCACTGTCAATGTGACTTTAGCGTCGCTCAAATGTCGTCCATAAATTATACTCTCACCATAATTTAAATCTTTGACTGATAAGCTTTATATTTGTACATGTAAATATTTTTGATTTGAAAAATTTACCAGTATATTAAAACTTAATAAGCCTATAATAATAAATATTATACTATCATTGTTAGGCTTTTGATCTAAGGCAATATCGAGGCAGTCGGCACAAGATGCACATATTGCCAATATGAGACTAATGAATTACAGTTTTAAATAACAATCGGAAGATCCGAGTGAATTTAATAAATATCATTGTTTGTTATTTTCGGGAAAAAAACAAACGTCTACAAGTACAATTAAACTAATGTATTTGTAATAACCCAATGAGTAGAAAGACCAGATTTTCTGATGTTTCGTGACTCAGTGTAAGCTACTTCTTCAGAGAAGAAATGATCAAAATTGGTAAAAGTTAAAACATTTAAATAACCTAGCATAACGATAATAATTATAGGAACGTGAATATTTTATATAGTTTATATAACATTTGTTATGCAAAGAACTAGATAATCATTTATGCATTATTCTTATAAAGGTTTTACTTTCCAATATGAATATTCACTCACATATCTTACAAGTAGAATGACTAGAAAATTTACAAGTGATAGACTGTAAAAGTGAGAGACTATAACATGAATGTGCTAACGGGTAAATTTATTTGTCTTTAAGGTTTATTATTACTTCCAAATGATATAATTCTGTTTCATTTTCTAATCAATATTGGGTTGTGTAGATTAATAAGTTTTTGATTGAGATCATGAACCGACTGATGTTAGACCACCACTGTATACCGGGAAGCACTGGACGGCCATTTCGTCCTATGATAGGACTCCACAGTAGTGCCCATCCTGCTCGCGGGATTCAAGCCCAGGTCTTTTAAGCTCGCGTGCGAACGCTTAACCTCTAGACAACTGAGACGGCATCCAACAGTGTCAATGTCTAACCTCAATTAACCCACGAAATTGCGTGACCACCGTCTATTGTACTAACGTAAATATCTGTCTCTATCTGACATGGATGAGCTCCAGTGGTCACTGTTTCTCACTACAACTCCGAGACGTCTTCCACAAAGCTAGTCACTCACACTAGTCAATCGGTTGATGAGCTGAATCATTTTCTATTGTTTGATTTTAATTTAATTGAAAGAAATATTGGATTTTAATGATATAAATACAATTTACAAGTTTTGATTTAATGAGCAGAAAATGAGACAATTCATTCATCATCACTAACATTTCTGTCTGGTTCATCATTGTCTTCTTTATCAGTTTCATTAAACTTAATTCATATAAAATATTTACTTTAATGTCTTGTGGAAAAACGTTTAAACGTTAAGTGAAAACATTGAAATATACACAGTAACTATAAGGGATCAGACAATTTACAAGTTGCATGCTTTACAAAACAGATTTATGTTGTGGATAAATTGAGAACGTGAATCTTAAATACATGAAAATTTGTAATATAATGGTCATGAAAATAAACAGGGACAAAAATTTCAGTTTCTCTATAAAT